CTCAGGTCATGATCCCAGGGTCCTGGGATCGAGCCCCACATGGGGCTCCCTGCTCAGCGGGGAATCTGCTTCTCCCTCTGCCTCTGCCTCTCCCCTGTCCTTCTCACTCACTGATAAATAAATAAAATCTTTTTAAAAAAAGAAAAAGTTAAACCTTTAAGATAAGGCATAGTTCCCTAGTATCCCTACTTCAAACCTAAGCCGAAAGGCACAAATAAGCAATAAACTATTAAGAATATCCCTGAGAAGGGGTGCCTGGGTGGCTCAGTTGGTTAAGCGACTGCCTTCAGCTCAGGTCATGATCCTGGAGTCCCGGGATCGAGTCCCACATCGGGTTCCCTGCTTAACAGGGAGTCTGCTTCTCCCTCTGACACTCCCCCCTCCTGTGCTCTCTATTTCTCTCTCTCTCTCAAATCAATCAATCAATCAATCAATCAATCAATCAATCAATCTAAAAAAAAAAAAAAAGAATATCCCTGAGAAACAGAATTTCACAGCTCCCATCTACTACTTTTTTCTGACTACTTACAGACTGACAAAAGCAAGCGGTGAATTAAACCTGGCCCAGATGAATTCCATGATTTAACAAAAGCCCATCTAAATCATCACATTTGCTTCAGAGAGGTGGGACACAGCAACACTCCTGGATGAAAGAACAGCCTGACACAGAACAAACAGCTTTCTTCAGCCTTCCTGCCCCTCCTTTACCTTTAGTTACAGGAATCTATCTTTTTCCCCCCTAAAGGAGACGCACCTTCAGGGAAATACATTTAAGTCAACATTCTTGAATATAAATACGAAAAATATATGACTTCATGTCCGAGAATTTAAGCATGAATACATATGCTAGTGAAACATCTTTTCTATTTTTTCTAATAAACTCTGAAAGGCTAAGATAGCTTAAGAGTGTTTTTCAATATTCAGGGAAAACTATGTTTCCCTATGTAGTAAGTATATTTATTCTAGAGATACTTGGAAAAACACCCAGCAAAATCTTCACCCAGCAAAACAAACTACTCAAGTTTAATGCGATATAGATAAGCACAGAAGATTGCCATACACATCAAAATCTATATGCTTCCTCTGTGACTTAAACAGGATAGAGCCAAGACTTCCACTTGGTTGCAAAGAAATTAATTCTATAATTTTTTTAGATCGGTAAGATGACCTGGGTAGGTTAAGGACATTCAGAAGGCTCCTCCCTGCTCCAGCCAGCTTTTCCTGGAGCCAGCTTCCTCCCTGTCTGTGAACCAGCGCTGCGCTGGGAGGGGACAGCTTGCACACACGCACAGGAAAGCAAGAATAGCCAGCCGTGTCTCACACCGCCCACAGGGAGCAGTGCTTCTGCAGAGGGAACAAGGCAGGACTCCCACCAACAGCCTTCTGCCCACAGTCCTCCAGGTCAGCGTGCAGCTTCTTGGTAGTACTGTTCAGTTCTTGGCTTAAGGCTTCCCGTGCATTCTGATTAAGGAGCCTTTCTCTGACTCAGGTATAAATATTGAGATTTTTAAAGATCAGGACATTCCTTCTCCAAGTAAAGACTTCTAAGTTTTTGGAGTACCCCAGAGCTTTGCGTAACAATCGACTCCTTCTCTTTTCCTATCTTTGTATCTAATTGACTTACTGTCAGACAAACAATCCTTTCTACCTACCCACTTACCTTAAGACAGTGACAAATACTAAGAGGAACACTAATGGCAGAGTAAGAGGGAAAGGAAGTGCTGAAGGCTGGGGAGGAAGTTGGTGGTTATTATTCTGTACAGTGGTCAGTCTATCAGAGACCTGAAAGAAGTGAGGAAGTAAACCACATGAGTATCTCGAAGAAACATGTTCTAGGCAGAGGAAACAGCAAGAGCGCAGGCTTTGAGTTGGGGTATGCTCGGCGTATCTGAGGACCTTAGAGGCCTTCATAAGGACTTCAGCTTTCACACCATTTGTGCCCCTGGAGTCATCACTGTCTTCTTTCGCTCACATCCTGGATCCAAGCCATCAGGCAATCATGTGGGTGCCATCCGCACAATATAGGCCCAATACAACCACTGCTCTGGTCCAAACCACCGTGAGCTATCACCAGAGCGACTGCAACAGCCTCTTAATTCCCTTCTTCCACCTTGCCCCCTGAAACGCTTCCTTATGGCACCTTTAAAAATGTCAATCGGACTGATCCAGTCACTGTCTTCCATAACACCTTCCTACTGGCTTTCCTCCCAATCAGAGGAAAGGCAAAAATTCTTACTACAGCTTCCAACGCCCGATATGGAACTCCTGTCCCTTGTGTCCACCCGCCCCTCACTTTTTAATCACTCACTCACTCACTCACTCACTCACTCTATTCCTACCACATAGCATTCTCACAGTTCCTCCAAAAAGCCAACCATGCTCCCACAGCAAGGCTTGGCACTTGCTGTCCTCTGGGCTTCCAAAACACATTTCTCAGCTCTTCACATGACTTGCTTCCTCACTTACTTCACATCTCTGTTGATGTTACCTCCTCGGAGATGCCTTTCCCCACAGCCCTATGTCTAGCAGCCCAAAGCCCACCCTTTCTCCCTTCTCCCCAGTACTCTGTACCTCTACTCGATTTTACTTTTCTTCATATATCATCATCTGATGTCCTGTATATTTACTTGTTTGGTTATCTATCTCTCCACATTAGAATATAAAACAGGATATTCATATTCATGGCTGTTTTGTTCATTGATGTATCCCCAGCGTCCAGGACACTATCTGGCATATAGAATATCTTTAGAATATTTGTTGAATGAATAAGCAAAGCAGTCTTAAGTTTGATCTTACAGGTGAGTTACCCCTTGGAATTACCCACACTACCTCTGGAGGCACTTGTCAAAAGCTGTATATTTTCTCTGAACATCATACAACAGAAGGGAAACTCTTAGTCTCCATCACCCTAAGTGTATGCAAGAAATAACACCATGATCCTGAAACTCTGTTTAATGGAATTTTCCTGAAGACTACAGATTCTCAGTTTCCCTAGTGTCTAGATGAAGGCACCCCTCAGGTCAACTGACATTTTCTGTGTCTACTATGTTCAATAAATAAAGACTGCATATTACTGGCCCATTTTTTCAAAACCAACAGCTATCAGCATGATACATTCATTTAAATTTATATTAAATGCTCTCTCAGATCTACCCCAAAACTTTGAAAGTTGATGTTAACAAAAATTAAGTCAGTAAACACAGACAACTTTTTCAATTAAGTATGACAAGCATTTTCTTTTTCATACTGGAAGAAGTACAACATGGGCGCGCACACACACACACAGTCACCCACATAAAATGGCCCGTCCGGCCCGTCTGCACCTGCACTTCGGCTCTCCTGGCCCCGGCCAGCTCACCTTGTCGAAGTACTGCTGCAAGATGTTTTTCATCTGCACCCTTTCAGCAGTCTCTGTTCCTGAACCAGAACTCAGACACCTGGAGAGAGTCCCAATTTCCTCTTCAGCATCCTCTCCAAGAAATATCCTTTCATCTAAATTCCCAACAGATAGAACATACTCCTCATAGGCCTTATTGATGGCTTTACTAGAGGGGGAAAAAAAGGAGAACAGACAACATATACACTCACAGAACTGCCATTTCAATTCATGTCGTAGGCCACTTAGTTATTTCATTTTTTTAATTTACTAAAAAGTTCTAATAATTTTGTGAAAGCTAAACTGCAGACCATTGTTAATTATAAAAACCGAGGTGTATGAAACGCAAGCTTGCTACAGGAAGCCGCTCCTCCGTACAGGTGTATTCTGCGGACAGTGTTTCAGGGTGGGTGCCCTGTACCAGTCTGCCTGGCAGGTGCAGCTTCTAGTGACATGCTGAGTTATCTTTCCTAGCTGCTCTAGGCATCTGTGAAGACCTCACTACTTCCACATCATCGTGTTTAACCTATATAGTTCCAAAAGAATTTCTTTATCTCAAAAATTACGATCCAAAAGCTTAACTATTAAAGCTTTAAAGAACAGCCACACAATTTTCAATAAATTTAAAACAATGTGCTTAGAGTAACAGTCGATGGAATTTTTCACTGCTTTCCTATGTTCCCCCACAAAACATACTCTGTATTTCCAGGGTACAAACAATAAAAACAGTAAACTCTAAGGTTTTCTAAGTATGCAATTTAAAATACTAAAACAGTTTGATAACAGAAGTACTCACAAACTCTCTCCAAAATTCCCCGGCTCTAAAAACCCCGTAAGATTTTCTTCTTTTCCCTTAAGGAGCTATGATGAAAGAAAAGATCCTTAAGTCATCATATCAAAACAAATCTTTCCCCAGAAAATATTTTCACATTACTTCTTTACTACTTACAAACCTTTTTTTCATATAGTTTCCTAATATAGGGTTTCCAGAAATGTTCTTTTATTCCCTTTGCTTCCAAAACTAGGCCATCATGTAAGGAACAGAGTTTCTCAATGACACAAGGTGGGTCGGAGGAAGGTTTAGAATCCTTAGCATGAAAATCTTCAGACAGGCCTACAACGAATAAAATCACAGAAGAGAGAGATCAGGTAGCATTCAATAAGTCAAATTGTAATAAATGAAAATAGAGTCTAATCAGCATGTGAGTTAGCATGTAAGTATACAGGAAACAATATATAAGGGCCTAATTTGACTCTAAATTTACCTCAAAAATAGCAAATAGAGAAAAGAAAACATAGGCAGTAATCTTTTTTTTTGGTAAGATTTTATTTCTTTATTTGACAGAGAGAAAGACAGTGAGAGCAGGAACACAAGCAGATCCAGACGGCCAACAGACACATGAAAAGATGCTCAGTATCACTCAGCATCAGGAAGTGCAAATCAAAACCACAATGAGATACGCCTGTGTCTCACCGGTCAGAATGGCTAGAATCAAAAAGGCAAGAAATAACAAGCATTGGTGAGGATGTGCTGGTCTGTGGTGAGCCTCAGACACCAGTCTCTGTTCTGTAGGATGGCATTTGTAAAGTTGTCAAGAATAAGGCTTGCATCAAGAGATACCAAGTGAAATTTAGAAGGTGAGAGGGTAAGACTGATAACTATGTTCAGAAATGCTTGGTAATTCAGGTTAAAAATAAGTACAACACACCTAAATACAGGATGATGGTCCATGTAACCAACAGAGATATCATTTGTCAGATTGCTCATGCCCATATAGAAGGAGATGTGATAGTCTGTGCAGCTCACGCTCATGAACTCACAAAGTATGGTGTGAAGTCTGGCCTGACAAATTATGCTACAGCATATTGTACAGACCTGCTGCTAGTCTGCAGGCTCCTCAACAGGTTTGGCAGGGACAAGATCTATGAAGGCCAAGTGGAAATGACTAGAGATGAATGCAATGTGGAAAGCACTGGTGATCAACCTGGTGCCTCCACCTGCTATTTGGATGCGTGGCTGGCCAGAACTACTACTGGAAATAAAGTTTTGGGGGCCCTCAAGGGAGCTGTGGATGGAGGCTTGTCTGTCACTCACAGTACCAAACAATTCCTTGGTTATGATTTGGAAAGCAAGGAAGTCAACGCAGAAGAAGATTGGAAGCATGTCATGGGTCAGAACGTTGCAGATTGTATGTGTTACCTAATGGAAGAAGATGAAGATGCTTACAAGGAACAATTCTGTCAATACATAAAGAACAAAGTATCTCTAGACATGGTGGAGGAGATGAATAAGAAAGCTCTCATTTATATGAGAGAATCCAGTCTATGAGAAGAAGCCTAAGAAAGAAGTTAAAAAGAAGAGGTGGAACCATCCCCCAAAAATGTCTCTTACCCAGAAGAAAGACTGGGGAGCTCAGAAGAAGGCAAGCTTCCTTAGAGCTCAGGAGCAGGCTGCTGAAAGCTAACAAACCAAACCACAATTTCTATGAAGATTTTTCAGATAAAGACAATAAAAAAACTTATTCACCAAGCAGCTGAAATAAATAAATAAATAAAAATAAAATAAGTAGTCATGGAGATGAAAAGTACAACATAAAGAATATAGTCAGTAATATTCTAGTAACATTGTATGGTGATAGATGGTGACTACACTTACCATGGTGAGTGCTAGGTGATGTACAGAATTGCTGAATCACTATATTGTACACTTGAAACTAATAGGACATTGTATGTTAATTATACTTAAGCAAAAATAAACAAATAAATAGCAAATAGAAGTAAAGTGTATCACTACTCAAAAGATTTTAGTTATTCAATTATTTATCTGGAGACACGTGAAAAAAAGAGAAACAATTTTTGTATATTGTTGTAAGATCTAAAAAACATAAAAATAAAATATAACTTTGCAAATAAGTCTGACATTCAAATAAAAAATAGGACTTTGAAAAACATTACTATTCAAAGTATATATATAGTTTATAAGCTTTCATTTCATTATATTGGAAGCATTTAACATATTGATTTACAGCTTATTCTTGCCCTAGATTCAGTATAAGAAAAACTAAATAAGAGTGGAAAAATGAAAAGCAGCCACTATATAGAAACATAAAAGGGAGTTAGGAAGGAAACGAGAGAAAAAAAAACACATTAAATGAAAAACATTAAATGTACCAAAGCAGGAGCAACTAGGTAATTAACTTCCTAACTTTAAAAATCTACCTTGAGGGTGCCTGGGTGGCTCAGTTGGTTAAGCGACTGCCTTCAGCTCAGGTCATGATCCTGGAGTTCCAGGATCGAGTCCCGCATCGGGCTCCCTGCTCGGCAGGGAGCCTGCTTCTCCCTCTAACCCTCTCCCCTCTCATGTGCTCTCTGTCTCTCTCATTCTCTCTCTCAAATAAATAAATAAAATCTTTAAAAAAAAAAAAAAAAAAAAAAAAAAATCTACCTTGAGAGTTGGACAAGCTAAAATTCTTTTTTTTTTTTAAATGTTTTATTATTTATTCATGAAAGTCAGAGAGAGAGAGAGGCAGAGGGAGAAGCAGGCTTCCCACTGAGCAGGGAGCCTGATGCGGGGCTCGATCCCAGGACCCTGGGACCATGACCTGAGCCGAAGGCAGACGCTTAACCATCTGAGCCACCCAGGCGCCCCAAGACAAGCTAAAATTCTAATTGCAACCACCCCAAATTGAAAATCACTCAGAATCCTATCCCTACCATGGTATTATTCAAAGAGCAACAGCATTATATACTAGCTCTATAAATACTGTTTAATATTTATAATTTTAATTGTAAGTTATGATTTGGTCTCTTACTATATATCATTCACAGAAATTACATGCTTTAAAACCTGCTAAATGCATTGCCAAAATAATCATTTCTATTCATCTTTTAGTTTAAGAGCTAAAAATTCATTTTACTTACTTACAACCATTACTACTTCTCTTCTGTAGGAAAAAATTTGAAATGAAGAGTATTTCAATAAATCCATTTTGAGCTCCTACTTGTGTCAGGCACAAAGCCTGGCAATGTAGAAAAACAACATCAGTTTTAATGTCACTTTGCTACTCTGGGTTTTTAAGTTCCTTCTTCTTATTGAGTATATATTGCAGAAACTTCTCAAGTTGTCAGGTAAGACTTTACACTTTGTAATATTTGCAATTGCTTTTTCCATAAGTATTTTTACAGAGAGCTCAACTCCTAGTGATAAGTAGTTGTAAGTACTCTGGAGAACCATGATGATGGAGCTTTTCAAAGCACTTATATTCTCTGATGCTGGAAACCTGTGGTATGTGCACAACTCCCAAGAGTAAACACAATGTAGAAATGTGAGTTGTCCAGTAATCTCCGATTTATAATCTTACCTTTAAAATTAGGATTCACCAGTTCTTTGCGATTGGAACACTGAAGGGCATTTCCATAAACCAAGTCCAAAGCACACAGCAGAAGATGGTAAGAATTGACCAAATCATCACTAATCATGGGGAAATTACCTACAGGAATGTAAACAGTTATCAAGTATATTTGCATCAACTTTACAATATTTTAAAAGTAATTTCTTCCTTTAATTAAAATGACATTTACAACACTGTACCAAAGCTGACTCAAAAGTTATATGAAGTGTTCTAGCAAATTTACATTTTGAAATATTAAAGTCTAATAAATAAGTGTAATGAAAACCAAAACTTTACTAAAAACAACATTCATCCACTCAACATTCAGTAAATAAGCATTAAATCCCTAGTAGCTGACCAAAATTTTATCACTAGTTTTTTCCTTGAAAATTTTAAACAAACAACTTCATAAATTATCTCAAACTATACGAAATTCTTTTATGTGAAAACATTTTTCTGTCAGGAAAATTAGTAGATATTATACACCTGAAACTAATTAACACTGTATGTTAACTATACTGGAATTAAGATTTAAAACTCAATTAAAAACAAAAAGTAAAAAAAAAAAAAATACATGGAAACAAACAATGGTCCAACATCTTTGGGATGCACAAAAAGTAGTTCTAAGAGGGAAACTAAAAAAAAAAAAAAAAAAAAAAAAATTACTAGAAACCCTTAGACGGGAATAACTAAAAAATGAGTTTTTCATGTATATACTTTAAAAAGACCAGAACAGAACCTATAATCAGACTCCTAACGGTAACATTTTAGATACTTTCTCCACAATAACACAAACTCATTCAAATTAAGCAACAGGATCACAATGAAAGATATTTAAGTCTAGAGCTAATATCCTAGGAATAACGTAGATGCATGGTAACAAAGGAAAAAGAAACCAAAACTCAAACCTATAGAAACATGTCATTTCTGCAATGCTAGTTTTAACACTGAAATCAGTTTTTATAGGCAGGTATACAGTTTAATTCTTAGAAATTAAGAAATATTTCTAGATCTCTTTTATAACTTCGAGCATATCCCTTTTCTCATTTAACACTGCATATGCATGCTTCCTAGTGATTTTACACCCTTATAACATCACATGAATTCAAGTTTAATAGCTAACATACATCTGAGGGATTATTTCTAAACCTCAACGTTTTCACACGTAATGCCTGCCCAAATACATGCAAACACACACACACACACACACACACACATTACTTTGTTTCAGGCTTTTTTCTTCCCCCCCCTCCTTTCCTCCAAAGAAAGTTACCACTTACCTCCACATATCAGGATAACTCTCTTTTTGTATAGATGAAAACATTCAACAAATCAACTTAAATGAATTAAAGAGAAAATTTTTTTTCTGTTGTCAGAAAGACAATTGATAATAGGTTAAGTTTTGCATTGATAAGAACCAAACTAACTTGCCTGGTTCCACTATAAAGATGTTTAATATTAAAGTATACTCAGTTTCTCAAATGTAAAACAGGAAGTGGCACCTACTGGTTTCAAGCTATAAAGCCGATCAGATTGACAAGCCTAAACTTGTCACTGGTTTGTACTTGCCATAAAGGGGAAAAAAAAAACAAAACAAAACAGCAGCACTATAACTTCTAAGAAAAAACGGAAAGGCCCCTAAAGATCAGAATCTTAAACTCCAAGGCTGTCCCAACCTGACATACTTTACATTTCAAATCCTGACTTTAGAAATAAATCTCACTTTGTAAGGTAAATTATCTTTCAAATAAAGATAACTTGTTTAAACTCTGAAGTTGGCTTATTTATCAGGAATGAGGAGATTGGAGAGTGTAAAACAGGAACTGATTGGTCTTCAGGCCACAAAGCCCTTCATGATGACAAGCCCAAACTTGTCACTGGTGTATACTCGCCACAGGAAGTCAACAAAGATAACAGGCAGAAAGTTGGCTTATGTATCAGGAATGAGATAATCTGGGATTGCCCATATGCTGCAGGGAAGCCATGAGAAAGGTGGCTACAGAAGAGTACAACTCTCTCCAAATAACTAAATCAAGAACGGAATAAAACGAATTAAACAACTCTATTAGAAAAGATCCTAGTGAATCATAAAAGATCATAGTGTCAGACAGTGGGGAGACAGACTCTTCAGATTAAACAAATTATAGATGGAATAATAAAACTCAAACACTGCAGAGACAAAAAATATGCCAGCCCAGGTGATCAAGTGAGACCAAAATGTAAATAAGGACTGTAACATGCTTTGTAAATAGTTTACGTAGTACCAAACACATTCACTCCCAGGTACACGGACACCGTAAGAGACATAAACAAAACAGATAAAAATCCCAGAAGTCGGATGCACCTGCCCACAATCGAACGAAAAGACTAATACTGTGTATAAAACCAGCCACAGCAAACTGAAAGTGACAGCAAGTGACACTATGAGAACAGTTTATATGCTCCTACGCCTTTATTTTGTACCACTTACCATATCACATTTATCTCCACTAAAGAAACATGCCAGTGTGATGGAAAACAAAATAACTAACGACTTATTTTTGGCAGAATTAAGATTTTTCTTTTCTTTTCTTATTGAAATTCAATTAGCCAACATATAGTACATCATTAGTTCAATATGTCATCAGATGCATAGAACCCCCAGTGCTCATCACATCACGTGCCCTCCCCAATGCTTATCACCCAGATGCCCCATCCTCCCATCCACCTTCCCCTCCGCAACCCTCCGTTTGTTTCCCAGAATCAAGAGTCTCTCGTGGTTTGTCTCCCTGACCTCTTCCCATTCAGTTTTCCCTCCCTTCCCCTGTGATCCTCTGCACTCTTATATTCCACATATGAGTGAAACCATATAATTGTCTTTCTCTGATTGACTTATTTCAGTTAGCATAATACCTTCGATCAACCATGTAGCTCAGGGAGGAGGGCTGAGCTCTCACTGAACTAGTGAGAGACGACCAGCTATAATCAGATACATCAAACCCCGAGACCAGTGGAGTGACACATCCTTGCTAGAGGGCCTTCACATCTGGCATGAAACCAAGAGCTAGATGTGGGTTCAAACCCCAGCTCTGTTTCTAGCAGCTAGTTTTTGGGCTTCAGTTACCAATCTTAAAAGTAAATAATTTGGGCTACTTGATCTAATAATGAGAATCTCTTACATTTATGAAATTCCTTCTAGCTCTATGATTCTTTGATTATAACTTTGTATTTTATTGGGTTTTCTTAATAGCAAAGGCATTCTATATAGTCTGTGTAATTAATGTAACTGTATTTTCTTTTCTTTTTGAGATTACTAAGAATCATATCTACGTAGAAATTTAGAGAGGACCCCCAAAAAAACAAAACAAAACATATTTCACTGAATACAGACCTTGGGTAAGTTACAGGAGATGAGAAGGGGGAGAAAATAAATTGTATCCAAAGGCATTTGAGCAAGTATATTTATCTGAACAAAATGCAAAAAGTAATCCGAACTACACAA